GAATCATAATAAAAAAAGATCCCATCAAGAGTAGTATAGGGACTTCCCTGGTGGTGCAGTGGTTAAGAATTTGCCTGCCAATGCAGGGGACACGGGTTTAATCCTCGGTCCAAGAAGATCTCACATGCCACGGAGCAACCAAGCCCATGTGCCACAACTACTGATCCTGCACTCTAGAGCCTGCAAACCATAACTACTGAGCCTGTGTGCCACAACTACTGAAGCCTGCACGCCCTAGAGCCTGTGCACCACAACTACTGAAGCTTGTGCACCTAGAGCCCGTGCTCCGCAACAAGAAAAGCCACTGCAATGAGAGCCCTCAACGAAGAGTAGCCCCTGCTCGCCTCAACTAGAGGAAGCCCACACACAGCAGTGAAGACCCAACACAGCCAAAAATAAATAAATAAATGTATTTTTTAAAAAAGAGTAGAAGTATATAGGATAATGACTTTCAAGAATTACTCAATTAATCAAAACTGTAATTCTCTGGAAATTATTCATTTACAGAGAAACTACAGTGGAGTTAGTTGTCAAACTTGGCACATGTAGAGATCCAGTCTGCTCTAAAGCATATTCCATGAGAGAGATAAGGATGTGGGCCTATGTGCACAAATGCAATGTTGCAATAAGAATAATTTGATCAGATTCAGCAAAACTAAGAGGGTTTACTGGCAATGGTTATTTTTTTTCTGGGGAAGGAAAAAGTAAGAAATGAATTCATGGCTCTAAATTTAAGGTACTAAAGGTGTTTTGGTTTCTCTGAAAACTTCAAAATGGGAAAATAAGAAATTAAAGCAAGAATTCTGACAAATGAACTTTGGCTTATCTCAGTCATAGAACATATGACTCACTTTTTCTCATATGGTACCAAGTTATTTGTCTTATTTTGCTTTGTTTTTAACTCGATATTGTTTCAAATCTGATTGCTCTCTAAGATTGAAAATTTAAGTGTTTGCCTGAGAAAGGCACAACCCATATATAAGACAAATCATGTGGCCTGGAAAATATGACACATAAAAGAAAAGGTTATATCTGCTTCAATAGAAAAGACCTCAAGAATTTTGCAACAATTAAATTCTCACAGCATTATAGTTATTTGCCACAAATAATATTAACCTAAATCAATACTTGTTTGAAAATGTGTTGAGAAAGACATTAGAAGATTGCAAAACTGAGTTGTTGGCCAAGTTATGGGTAGTTGGTAAGAGTTAGGTGTCTTGGATGAAAGTTGAAAGGAAAGCACTTATTCTGAGCTTTCAGAATTGAGAAGGGATTGGGATGATGGAAAGAATAGGAGGTTTTGTGAAGGTGGTAACTGATGAGCTGGACCCTGAAGGACAGGTAGAATTGGCTGAGATAGGAAGCTGCCTTTTTTGCAAAGAGAGAACATAGAGATGGGAAAAGTGGGATATAGTAAAGAAATGTGAGCAAGTTGTCCAAAGGGAATTTGTGGCTTACAGTTAAGTTTGGATTGAAGCTAGATTGTAAAGAACCTCCAATGGGGTCTTTTTCCTCCAGGACAGTGGCTCCAAAAATGTTTCCATCCCCACCTTACCTTCACCCTCCCTACATGAAATGCCCTCTGATATTTTCTGTTCCATTGTATTCTTCACTGTTTCATTTTTAAAGGATTCTGACATGATCCACTATAGGAATTACATATTCTTTTAAGAGGTCAAAACCCACAGGCAGTAAATGCTGCTCTCGTGAAATTCATGAAAGTGTCTGCGTTGAAGAGTAGAGAAGGAATATGAACTGGACTGGTTGCAGAGAGTGACCAGAGGGGAAGGGACAGGGAAATCTGGCTTGGCTGCTAATTGTGGGCACTAGGGGAAACATTTGTTGAATTAATGAATATAAAGTGAGCAAGGACATTGCAAAACATGTCGAGGAGAGGGAATGAGAGAATGATCTAAGGTGATGAGAGACAAATGAAGAAATGCATGCAAGACATATGTAGAGGACCAAATAAGATTTTCTAAAAATCCATCTATGTATATATACTTATGTATGTATAAATATTGAATTAGTAATAAATAAAATCAAAGCAGATTTATGAAATAAATGTCTCAAAAACTTCTTGAAATATTATAAGCAAATCTAAACTACTCAAAACTAAGCCAACCAGCAATGTAATGGAAAAATTCATATAGCCTCAGGAGAAAAGGAAAGAAACGTTTAGCATCTACCATGAGTCAGACATTAATATGTGCAATTTCTCATTTAATCCTCATAACCCTGTCAAACAAATATTGATGTCCTTGTTCTACAGACAAGGAACTGAGCCTCAGAAGTTTAGTAGTTTTTCCAAAGTCAAAAAACTAGTTGGATCAAAAGCAAACATCTAGAGCCAGGTGTGTCTGATTCCAAAGCTTGGGCTTTATTGATAGTGTAAAATTCTATTTATGAAAATGTTGCAATTATTTTTTAAAAGAATAAGGTGTATTTCATTTTGGTACACAGCAGGACCTTTCAAGCCAACTTGTGGTCTCAAGATAACTCTTTGTAATCCATCCTGGACTATTTACAAAGAATAAATAAGGATTTATAAATAAATGACAGGTAATGTTTTAAAAAATAAATTTTTAATTTAGTTTTAAAATTGCTGTGATAGTTACAATTAAATGCAAGATCCAGATACACAAAAAATTTAATTAAAAAAACAATAAGGATGCCATCTCAAGAACAGATGGGAAACTGTCCATTTCTTTAATCATCTCCTCTCCCAGCTGATTCCACATGGGGAAACAAACAAGTCACATATCATATTAATGCAAAACTCCAACATGAGCAGTGCTAGAAACCTTGCCCAGAGCTGGGATTTCAATGGAAAGACAATAGATTTAATGGTAAACTTGGAATAATAACTAAAGTACCAATTTCAAGAAAAAACACACAGTAAAATGCATGTATTTCAGTAATAGCTCAAAATTTTCATTAATATTTTAATGTCAGATCACTTTCAAGTGGGATGCTTTAGGAACTGAAAAAAATTATCATGCTTTTTTTGTGAAATGAAAGACTTTGCCTTAATTTTGTAGTGTCTGTTCTTCATTTATCTAAATTCTGTATAAAAACTTCTTTTCCAAAATACCACATTGGCAGACTGGGAGCTGGGTTCCAAAGACAAACACTACAAATAACTCTTTGAAGCAAACAACAACCAAACAGCTCCTACAGATGGGCACAGAAATATTTTGCTCTGACGTGGGAATAATAGCACATAGCTATGGATGGTTTATGAGCTCAGGCATTCTCTTCTGGTGCAGCTGTGGAATTCGATGCACCCTCATCTACATCCTTCCCCAAAAGCAATTTTCTCAGCAATCTAGAAAACATTGGTTTCTATCCCCCAGGCTTTATAGACTGAAATTAAAGCTTGGAACTTCTTAATAAATGTGTAACACTAGTCTTCAGTTTAAATATACTACTGGGATGACAAGCAGCAGGAGTGTCTTGGAGGTCATTTCCAGGCAGGTATTCATCCCTTAGAAGCATTTTCAGGGATGACTTATTTCCAATGGATAAAGGTTATTTAGATATATTCCCCCAAGCTATAGAGGCTGTTTTCCGAATCTGGATAACTCTAATGTGAGACATATTAAATGCATCAGGCTCCAATTCTGCTGGCAATAAATCTCCCTCAGAATTCCCATTGTATTTAGTTATGCCTGCTGTGTTGGATGTGAGGAAACTCATGGGATAGGAGATTTCAAAGTTAAGTAAAGTCAACAGTGAAATAGTACTAAACTTTTATCCAATCAGGACACATGGATCAATTTCAGATTAATCTTAAAAGACATTTCTTCTATTAGGACATTACTGTTATTATTCTTACAGTTTAAAAGAATCATAATTTGATGTATCCAAGCTTTTAGGGGGAAAATTCCTTATATTTGTGACATACATATATATACTATTATATATGTATATAATTTTTCCCATTATTCTATCTAAACTTGTAGAAATTATTAAAGGAAAATTTTTCTTACCATTGTTAAAGACCATAAGGAAGACTTTATTCAAGGGACTACTGCAGTGAGGTTTTGCAGCAGGGGATAGAGTTTGGGCTGAATTCTGAATACAACAAGGAAAAGTGGGGATTTACAGCCAAGGAGCAGGGTTGGGTCTATGGGTGGAAAACTACTAAGAGGAAACAGCAGGGCTAAAGGCTAAACTAACTTGACAGGATCCTTGCTGAAGACAGGCCAGAATGATCAGCTATCAAGGGTGAGGAATGAGGTATTAGATCAGATATGGGTGGGGGATTTTCACTAAACTGATCCAGCAGGATTTTTGCTAAAACTTGACAAAGGGGCCAAGGACAGAGTTCAGGGTGGGACCTCAGAGGGAAGAGGGCTCAGAGGAGGCTGACTCGGGTTTGGGCAAAGTGAGAGTCTTTCTCAAAATACAATTTAAAATATTACCTGGAAGGCAAAACTGACCAGAAAAGAAGCTCATTAAACATTCACCTCTCAAAACAATATAAAGATGTGAATTACCCTAAATGTTAGTTCTGTCACCACCACCGACAAAACTTGAATGCTTCCTGCGTTCAGAATAAGATGAATAAGACCTATTCTATATGCGTAGCCCATACAATGTAGCAATTAAAACTGGCCATTCGAGTAGGACCTTCCATAGGTTTCTCTGAGAGACAAACAGGCAGAAAAGAATTCCCTTTCAATCAAGACTCTTTCTTTCTCTTTCTGCTTGTCCAAGAACCCCTTGCTCAGTCCACTAGCTTCCCTGCTTCGCCCCTCCGCACCCCACTTCTGCTAACTTAGCGCTCTTGAAGGTCCGCACCGCCGTCTCCCGGCCTTCGAAGCCCACTGCGCTTGCGCACATCCAGGTCTTACCCGCCAGCAGGGGGCAAGTCACGATTTTCTGTTCTCCTCGGCTGGACTCTGGCGCCCTTCTTCTCCCAGCCTTCTCCCTTAGCTCTGGCCTGGAGACGCTTCCTTAGCAACGGGTCGCCCTTAGCAACAGGAGGACGCGGGCGGGCTGACTGGGTTTCCCGCGCGTTCCTGGCACCTGCCTGCGGTGGGAGGCGCAGGCCGAGCCATGTCGGAGATCCTGTGCCAGTGGCTCAACCAGGAGTTGAAGGTGTCCCAGACCGTGAGTGAGTGTCACAGCCTGGGGAGAGCGGGCCGGGGGCGAGGGGGGCGCGGAGCCTGGAGCGCGGCGCGCTGATGGAAGGTGGCGGCGTGGCAGGCGCTAGCTGCCCGCTACGGCTCACCTCAGCCGCTGCAGGGCTTCTCCCGCCTCCGCTCTGCCGCTCAGAGGTATCCATCATCACGGTGGTCCCAATCCCGCAGGTTCTGACCTACCGTGGTGCTCAGCCATCAGAGGCTTCAGGGAGGGCTCCCTTGCTCCTTTGGAGAGAAGAATTTTCTGAACTCTATCGTCTGGCCCTGACATTGCTCCTTTCACACTCAAGCGTGGTGTGGTACAAAGCCAACGAAATATGAAGCCTGAAAGCCAGCTACCACGCTACTAAATGTGTGCCCCTGGACAAGTTACAATACCTTCTCCTTCTTCCAGTGTGTTTCCTCCAGTATAAAACAGATCCAGTCATACTTGCCATACCTAACTGCCTCGCAGGAGAGGAGGGTGTGTGAAATGAGTTAATGCAGAATATATTAACTTTTACAAATTTCAGCAGTCTTAGCTCAAATGTACACATTAGCTGCTTCTGACCACTTTTCACTCTTCCCAAAGCTGACCTTCTTCACTAACCTGATTTTCCCCGAGCCATGAAGTTGCCGCCCCAAGTTTCTAAATCTCACAACCACAGAGGCAGTTTTACATGTTGGCACCTTCTGTGACAGTCAAAATTCAGAATAGCACTACCCCCCCTTTCAACTTCTTTCTGTTGTCTCTTAAGCAGTTCATTTTCCAGCTGGTAATGTTTTTGCTCAAAGCAAGAGGTTTTCAGACCGAATCATTTCAGTCTGTTTTTCCCAGAAGCATCCTTGCATAATGCCAACTTGCTACCAGAGGGGCAATAGTGCCAACTCAACCTTAAGTCTTAAGTCATCCACAGAATTTGCTAGATCAGTCATGTCTCTGCAGCCACACAGTATTTGTTATCAGCGTTTAAGATCTTTAACTTTGGAGCTTCTCCAGTTGCCTTTCTTGAGGCATAAAACCCGGATTTTTTCTTTGCCAAACCACCACCGGCACATGCCCTGGGAACCGCAGTAACTTTTTTCCCCAGGATTCTATGATCATCCCATGTGTCTCTGACTGTTCCTCACCTAAAATATGATGCTGATCTCAGGGTGGCGTTTAGCATTTTTCTTTTCATATTTCTTTCTCACCATAGGAGCCAAAATGTAATAACATGCCCTTAAGATATACTCTTCCGAAGAAAAGCAGTTATAAATTGCTGAGTTTAATTTGGCTTATTTACTTGATTAATAAAAACCGCACCCTTTGCTCAAGTCCCTAAGACTCTGTTGTATATTGAAACACTTCTGAGAAAAGTAAATAAAATTCATAAGAAATATAGAAAAACAGTAGTATGCCATTCTAATTGTAATCAGTTTGGGAATTTTGGTTTAGAGAGGAGGAGGAAGAATTACTTCATTCCGTGAATATTAAAAGACTGGAGACTTTTTAAGTAAGAATTTAAATAACATAAACTATAAATGGAAAATTCCCAGTGTTTGCTTTCCCGAAGCATAACGCCAGAAGCTGTTAGCAGAGACAGCTGCGGTATTCTGCATCCCATTCACTAGCAATACATATTCATTTTTTGATCCCAGTTGCTAAGAGGAGCCTAAAAAGAGAGAGACAATCCCCTAAGTAACCAAATTCCATATTGTAAAAGGCTGTTCTGACTATAGGGCACACATTCAACTGTGTTTGGAAACAAACAAGGTAGGATTTGTGCACCTAAGAAGCACACTGCCAGTTGATTTCTGTCATTAGATAAGCCATCCTATGGTGTACAATGGAAGGCTTAGAATGGTTCAGAGGAACTCTCATGGAAGGACTGTTAAGTGGGTACAACCTCTGGGGAAAGTAATTGGGCAATTGCTGGATAAGGATCCTGTTAAGAGCAAGGATTTGGAGGCCAGACTGTTTAGGTTGAAATCACTTATTCACACTTACTAGCTAGTGACCTTGGGCAATTTATTTACCTAAATTTTATGATATTCAAAATAGGGGTAATAATAATATCACATTGAGTTGTGTCAAGACTAAATGAGATAATAAATGTAAAACATTTAGAATAGTCCCTGAGACATAGTAATGCCAAATCTTACTTTACAGAAACTATCATACAAAAATAAAATCACCAATGTGTAAGGACATTTGAACAAGGATGTTTATTGCTACATGGATGGTAGGGGCAAAAAGAAAAAAAAATGGAAACAGTTTGAATACCCTTCAGTAGCAGAGTACTTGGGTAGATGATGCTATGGATTGTTATGCAGTTGTTAGAACAAATGAGTTAGTTGCTATAACTTTTGACCTAAAGAACGCTCAAGTAGGGCTTCCCTGGTGGCGCAGTCGTTGAGAGTCCGCCTGCCGATGCAGGAGACACGGGTTCGTGCCCCGGTCCACGAGGATCCCACATGCCGCGGAGCGGCTGGGCCCGTGAGCCATGGACGCTGAGCCTGCGCGTCCGGAGCCTGTGCTCCGCAGCGGGAGAGGCCACAACGGTGAGAGGCCCATGTACCGCAAAAAAAAAAAAAAAAAAAAAAAGAATGCTCAAGTAAAACACAAAAGTTATAGCTTATTGTAACCAGTATAATTTCATTGTTGCATGAGGATGTGTGAGAGAAAAGTGTGGAGAGGCACATACTGGGCTGTTGACATACACGGGACTCTTCATTTTGTGGTTTGTGTAAGCATAGAGAGAAGTGTGGAAGGATATAAACCAGTGTATTGGTATTGGTTACCCTGGGAAAGAAGATTGCTGGCTTTTTTTTTGTACATCTGTGTTATTTGGCTTTTTGCTTAAATATAAAATTAAAGAAGTAGATCAAACATCACATGACAAAATAGGAGAAAAAGAGGTTTAACATTTTGGTTGAAATATAGTAAGTATCTTGAAGTATTGGAGGGTTACATAAGAGTTATTTTCTCTAATAAAGTTTATAAATGGAAGAAGAAGAATAATAAAAGTTATCCCTTCTTGAACACTTAGGTACTTACACCAGACGCTGTGCTAAGCCTTTTACATGGGTTTTCTTTTTTAATCTTTAAAAAAGCTCTAAGAGGCATTGCCCCAGTTGTACAGATGAGTAAAAGAGGCTGAGTGAGCTTGGTAATTTGTTCAGGGTCACCCATCTAGTAGGTACTAGAACTAGAATTTGAAGCTAGATCTTTGACTAGTGCTCTTAGGCACTGTATTATATATTAGAGTGTATGCTTAAGGAATATATTTTTTAAAAAATTTACCATCCCAAGTGTATTCATTTGAGCTCCTTTTAATGAGGATTATTGTTCATTTTGAAATCACAAGCAGTACAGAAATTCAACCACCCAGACATGTTGTAACTTCACAGGGCATAACCTAATTCCTAGATGCTTAAATGGCAAAGGTGGATTTATTGATGTTTTTAAAAAGTGGTTCAGTCCATATGTTGCTTGCTGGGACAGAGAAAACAGAATGAGAATGCCAAGTGAATGCATTGCTGTCATTGGAGAGGTAGCTAAAGCCGATTGATTTCTGGATTATTCTGAAAGGTAGAAGTCAGTTTGGATAAAGCATCTCATGTTGAATTTTGTGTTGTCTGGACTACCCTGAATATCAGCAGTAAGAAAATGAATTTCAATGATCCTCAGTTGAGAATAGTCTCCCTCCACTTAATGAGGTTTCTGGGAGTCACCGGAGGCTTGATTAGTGTCAACACCTGACACTACATCTATGACAACATCTATGTTACTAAAGCTAAGGATCTCCAGTGAGTTAAGTTTAACAAAACCATTTGTCCTGGAAAATAATGCTTAGACGTATATGTTAATGAAATGTCTTAAAATACAAAAAGTTGTTCAACACAAAATCGCATCTGAAATTCAAGCAATTATTTTTATAACAAAAATAAGCAATATAGAATAATGTTACCAAGAGATCTGCTGTGAAATTCTTTACAAACTCTCAGTTATTCTCAAGAATAAGCATTGCCTCTGTTTTACAAAACGCCTGTGAATACACTGTAAGAAGAAACTGGCATCAGAATGTCGTAACTAAACATTCTCCACAAATGAGTAGAAGCATTTGAATTCCATGTACTGAACAGATCAGATTCCTTGTAAAAATGGATGCATAAGACAGTCCATATGATTTTGGATTCTGGATGGAGCTATATTGAAAATTGTAAATACCTTATTATGCATATTTTTATTGTTTCAATAGTCTTAAACATTGTTATCAATAGTAACAAGGAACCAATAAAGAGAAAAGCGAGTTAAGAAAGTTTAGTATCCCTAAGTCTTGATTTTGTAGTAGCCAAATTATAAATAATAATCTCTAGTCCCAATTTTATACCCTGAGAAGTAATAATAATAATTGCTATATATTTGGGAGAGTATCTAATGAGATTGCAAATGGAAAATATCTACCACAGTGCCTATCATCTATACTAGAGCTAGATACTCAAATATTATTTCAACCACTTTTCTGCCTCTCACTTTAGAAGTATGTCTATTATAGTGTCTGTCACATAATAGGCACTTAGTAGATAATTATTTATTACATGAGAATGTATGAGTGAGACAAAAGTAGGGCAAAGTATTGTTTTTGACTGAACCTTATGGATTTGTTCATCTCAGAAAGGTCACCCTGGGTGCTTTGATCCTCACCTTTGTGATTTCAGAAGCTCTGCTTTCTTACTTAAAGCAACTTCTTAGGAATTGTCACATGCTAACAGAAATTACATTCTGCTGATTTTATCAGCTACAGTACCAATTCATCATGTGGAAAAGGACAGCAGAATAATGTATACTGGCAATGGAAAGTAATGCATGTCTTGGTGGGCTGGTACGCTCAGGAGGAGACCAAATTTATAGATCAGATTGCTCCTTGACAGTTAGAAATTAGACATTACCAAAAGAATCCTCAAATCAAGCTAATACTTGATGTGTTTTACTTTTCTGCTCTAGAGA